CACCGGCGATGTGGTTGCAGATCGTCGTCAATCTGACTAGTTGCTAACACAAGGGATTGACTGAGAGTGAGGAGCTAAATATTCCTCTGAGCTGTTGTCAATTACCAGACAGCACATGTGTTCTGGCTCCTCTTAGAACTCAGGGCTGAGAGACCGCCTGCTGCACAGGCGCGCCTCTCACCGTCAGGATGCCAAATCCCACCGGTGCTGATCTCGCAAACAGGCCACCGGTGGGGGTGAATCAGGGGGGCTGTTTGACGTGCATTGTTCTGCCTCAGCTGTTACCGGAGCAGCCTCTGCGGCTTCATTGGGGCCAGGTGTAGCTTCTGCCAGAATTGGGAGCTCATCCTCAGCAGCACTCAGAACTTCTGCTGGGGCTGGGAGCTCATCCTCGGCAGTACTCATGACACGACCCTTCAAAGCAGCCATTTTCTCCAGGGAAGCTGATCTCTATCAGCTGGAGGTCAGTTGTAAAAGCGGGAGATCTCCAGGCCTCACCTGGAGACTGGCAACCCTACCTGATTAGCTCAGTTAGGGCTCTTTCCTGCTCCTGCTGAGAACTGTTAGTCTGCTGACTCTCTCCTAGCGAGTTAGACAGTTAGACTTCTCTTTCTCTCTTCTCTTTCTTACCAAGTTTGTTCTGTTCTTAATAAACTGATTTTATTCTTTAAACAGCTTGTGCTCCCCTTTACCGCATATCTACACTCTGCCGGTAGACTGCCTGGTGCTCCATTTGCTTTACATGTTTGCATTTGCTTTACATGTTTTGTTTTGTTGCAGAATGCAACAAGTTGTTAGGATTTCCAACTTCCAGGTGTGTCCTGGAGTTTTCCTGGAATGACAACTGATCTCTAGATTACAGAGAGTAATCTCTGGAGAAAAAGGCATCTTCCAAGGGTGGACTGAACTGTATCACATACCTGTTGAGCTCCCTCCCTAAACTCTGCCTTCCCCAGGAACCACCCACAAATCTTCCAGGAATTACCTAAATATGGAACTGGCAGCCCTATGAATTGCCGATAACATCGTATGTATGTCTCTGTTAAAACAGATTGAACAAATCATGGCAATTTCAAACTAAATGTGTAGCATTCAGACAACCTATGAGCAGTTCATTGAAATTGTCTTTGGAGCAACATATTCAACTCTGATGGGTAACTAGTTGAATCTGCTATAGTTAAATCACTTATTTGGACTAAAAATAGTGGGCAATAAATATTGTAAAGGAAATGAAATATTTTGACCAAGAAGGTAGAAAATATATTTTCAGAAGATTTCAATTTCATGGGTAAAAGCAGCTCAGGGGCAGTGTGAGCCAGCTCAAAGTTTCTTAGCCTCCAGCTCACACCTTTTTGTCTTAGCTCAGGAAAGAGCAAATTAATTTATGCAGCAGCCAAATCTCTTGCTCACAACTTTCATGCCAGGGAGGCAGTGGGGCCCTTGGACGACCAAGGGGTAAAAGGAGTATTGAAGGATGATAGGGAAATGGCTGAGAAGCTAAATGCATTTTTTGCCTCCGTCTTCACTGTGGAAGATGAGAAGTGCTTGCCCACTCCAGAACCACTGATTTCAGGAGGGGTGTTGGAAGACCTGAGTCAGATTGAGGTGATGAGAGAGGAGGTCCTAAAACTGATAGACAACTTAAAAACTGAAAAATCACCAGGCCCAGATGGCATACATCCGAGAGTTCTGAAAGAACTCAAATGTGAACTTGTAGATCTCCTGACAAAGATATGTAATCTTTCCTTAAAATCTGCCTCCATTCCTGAGGATTGGAAGGTAGCAAATGTCACTCCCATCTTTAAAAAGGGTTCCAGAGGAGATCCGGGAAATTACAGGCCAGTCAGTCTGACGTCGATACCGGGTAAATTGGTGGAAACCATTATTAAGGAAAGAATTAGTAGGCACATAGATGAACAAAACCTATTGAGGCAGACTCAGCACGGTTTCTGTAAGGGAAGATCTTGTCTCACTAACCTGTTAGTGTTCTTTGAGGGGGTGAACAAACATGTGGACAAGGGGGATCCAATAGATATTATTTACCTTGACTTCCAGAAAGCTTTTGATAAAGTTCCTCATCAAAGGCTCCTAAGTAAGCTCAAAAATCATGGGATAGAAGGACAAGTCCTTTTATGGATCAAAAACTGGCTAGTTCATAGAAAACAGAGAGTGAGTGTAGGTGGGCAATTTTCTCAGTGGAGGGTGGTAAGCAGTGGGGTACCGCAGGGATCAGTACTTGGTCCACTGCTTTTTAACTTGTTCATTAATGATTTGGAGATGGGAGTAAGCAGTGAAGTGGCTAAATTTGCGGATGATACAAAGTTGTTCAGGGTGGTGAAAACCAGTGAGGATTGTGAGGCACTCCAAGGGGATCTGTCAAGGATGGGCGAGTGGGCGTCAACATGGCAAATGGGGTTCAATGTGGCCAAGTGCAAGGTGATGCACATTGGAGCCAAAAATCCTAAATATAAATACACATTGATGGGGTCTGAACTGGCAGAGACTGAGCAAGAGAGAGATCTTGGAGTTGTAGTGGATAACTCACTGAAAATGTCGAGACAGTGTGTGACTGCAATAAAGAAGGCCAATGCTATGCTGGGGATTATTAGGAAGGGTATTGAAAACAGATCAGCCAATATAATAATGCCCCTATATAAATCAATGGTGAGACCTCATTTGGAATACTGTGTGCAGTTCTGGGCACCACACCTTAAAAAGGATATTATAGCTTTGGAAAAAGTGCAGAAAAGGGCAACTCGAATGATAAAAGGGTTGGAACACTTTCCCTATGAGGAAAGGTTAAAGCGCTTAGGGCTCTTTAGCTTGGAGAAAAGACGACTGAGGGGTGACATGATCGAGGTTTATAAGATTATGCATGGGAAAGAGCAGGTAAAGAAAGAGGTACTTTTCTCCCTTTCTCACAATACAAGAACTCGTGGGCACTCCATGAAACTGCAGAGCGGTCGGGTTAGAACGGATAAAAGGAAGTACTTCTTCACCCAAAGAGTGATTAACACATGGAATTCACTGCCACAGGAAGTGGTGGGTGCTACAAGAATGGACGGCTTCAAAAGGGAATTAGATAAGCATATGGAGCAGAGGTCCATCAGTGGCTATTAGCCACAAGGTATAGCTAGGGGCTCTGGGGCAAGTGATGCTCTGTCTTCTTGGTGCTTGGGGGGGGGGTCAACAGTGGGAGGGCTTCTAATGTCCTGGCCCCACTGCTGGACCTCCTGATGGCACTGGTATTTCTGGCCACTGTGTGACACAGAGTGTTGGACTGGATGGGCCTTTGGCCTGATCCAACATTGGCGTCTCTTATGTTCTTATAAGTAGCTCACAAAGTAGAATTTTTGCTCACAAGACTCCACAGTTTAGAGGGAACATTGCTCAGGGGTGGTGATTTTTGGTGGGAAAATGTCTGGGGGGGGAGTTTAAAAGTTCCCTACCTCTGCACTGGTTCCTCTGTTTAAATTGCAGGATACAAGATGGAAAACACTTACAGAACTACTTGTAAATCTACACAGTTAGCATGTTTGGCCCAAGGATTTTCCCAATCAATTTTGTAGGAGCTGTGGGGGGGCGGGAGGACCTCAGAATATCCTTCTAAATCTATTAATGTGAATTTGGAATTAAGCTCAGGTATTAAAATATTTATCACCTACAGAGTAATTTTCACATTAATTATTTCAGCAATGCTTGTAATAACTGTGTAAAGTATTAAAGCCAGTATTGTTACTCCGGTATTGCAGAGGTGGTGGGGGTGTTGAGAGTGTCTAATATCATGTGGTGAGTCTGTGTCTGAGGTGTAGTTTTTATGTATTTTCTGGCGCCATGGCAATGGAGATCAGAAAAACTCCCACAAGTTTAATACGTTTATGGATTTTGTCTCTTGTCCTCCTAGGTGATGGTGTTGCAGTTCCATCAAAGTTTAATATAGAAAGACAAACCGAGATTATGGCATCACTAGACAGTAACTCTAGATCCAATCTTAGTGCCTTTGAAAATGGAGGTAAAGATATTTGCACCATTAACATTCTTTTAACAGACAATGAAGTGAATATCTGTGTAAGTACAGCATGCACTCTGAACCGTGTTTATTTAATTCATTTGTTTATGTTATTTATAGTCTGCCTTTCTCACGGAGACTGAAGGCGGATTACACAGTGTAAATCATTGCAGTCAATAGAATGGTACATCCAATAATCATCATAACAAAGCTGAAACAAAGCATGAGCGTTAACATGGCTTTTAAAACAATGCAGAAATTACATAATAGGATAATACATACAGGAAAACATAGTGTGTACTATACACATGCCCTGACATGGATGGCCCAGCCCAATCTTGTCATATCTTGGAAGTTAAGCAGAGTTGGCCCTGGTTCATATTTGGATGGGAGACCACCAAGGAAGTCCAGGGTAGCTATGCAGAGGCAGGTAATTGAAAAGAAGTAGGATAGAACGTAAAAAAAATAAAAATCCCTGTCATTATTACAACAATGGAAACCACAGGGGGGAAGGCTCCTGAAAGCTGCAGGTAGTGTCAGTTATTATTAGGGAATAATAATATCTATTGTTTGAGAACATTTCTTTAACCACAAAAACTAAGTCTGTAAGAGTCTTCCATGATGAAATGTTTGTGTTCAAAACAATAAGGCACACAAATGTTCCCTAATAAATTGCTGAAAGCACTTGTGGCTTTCCCCCCTCTAGATATGGGATTGCCGACAATGTATTTGGTGACATCAACTCCATGAAGGCTCAGTATATGGAGGTAAGGCATTTGTCCACAGCAGAATGCTGGGGAAGGGAGGATGTAGAGCAGGAAAACAATATAGGAAGGAAGGATTAAAAACAAGACAAGAGTCCTTAATGCTGTGGACAAATAAAGCAGATTGATATGGAACTGCTTCTTTGCTAGAGGAAATATAGCTTCTTCATTTGTTCTAAAGCTGGCACATATTTGGGCAGGGTTTTTTTAAATTTTGCATTTGTATGTGTGTGTCAGTGTGTGTCCGTGTGTGTGTGTGTGTGTGCCCATGCCTGGAAGCCATGGCAACCTCTGGCAACTGCTACTGGGGAATGGAGGACATTCAGTGAAGTGACTTGATAGCCTGCCTCTGGCCTGATATTCTCTGGAGGTCTCCCATCCAGGGGTCATTTCCTGCGGGAGCACACAGGAGCGGAGCTCCAGCAGTAAGGAGCCCAGGGGGTGGATACATGCAGCAAGCCCCACCCCCTGCTCCCAGCAGCCCTCAGTCAGGCCACAAGGAGCAAGAAGCAACCAGGTAAGTTGCAGAGCCCCCCCCGCCCCCTTCAGGTACAAGCTCTCCCTCCTCTGTGAGAGCAGATCTCCGCATTCCCCCCCCCCATAGCTAGCAATCCAAAACAGTCCAGTGGGATCTTTAAGACCAAGTTTTATTCAGGTACAAGCTCTCCCTCCTCTGTGAGGGCAGATCTGCACGTCCCCCCCCCCAATAGCTAGCAATCCAAAATAGTCCAGTGGAGTCTGAGCGGTGGGTGTTGCTTTCTGACACACCTCCGGTGTGTTATGCTAGTAAGTTATGCTAATAAGTTATGCCAATAAGCTCCTGCACCTCTTTTTCTATGAAATGACCCCTGATCCCATCCAAATACTTGCCAGGATCAGCCCAGCTTAGCTTCTGAGATCTGATGAGATTGGGTTTGCCTGGGCTATCCAAGTCAGGGCCATATTTTGGCAGGTATTGATCCCATCACATAGGCTAAAAGGACCATAGAGGTCTAGAAAAGCACTCTTTAGAAGGGCAGTCTGCCACTGTGTCTACAAGAGATGCATTCCAACATTATGCTAGGTAATGATGTCCAGAGACTGATAGGATGGGACCATTAGAATTTGCTAGTTCAGATAACTTTGGTTCTTCTGCATTTTTAAATTTCCATTCCTCTTTACAATCATGACCAAATATGCTAAAAGCATACATCTTGACTTAAGCATTTGAAGCACTCCAGTTTTTATTGTCATTGCGATGTTTTGCGTCTCTCTGCAGGAGGTGATTGTTATTTGCCACAAAGAAGAATATTTGTTGGAGGATTACAAAGTAAAGTGTTCAGTGGAGAAAAAGGACTTACCATGCTGAAGTGTTCAAACATTAAAGGTGCTGATTTCTCATCTCTTTAAAAAAAAACTCCATTAAAAACACACACATCTGTGCTCAAAAGGGGAAGAAGTGGTTTTTGCTGATTTCTCTGTCCCGGAGCAGCCCTCCAACTCTCCCATTATGCTTCTCCTGGGCCCCATCCCACCCCCCAGGAACAGAATTTTGGGCTGTTGCTGGAAGTCCTATGGCAGAGAAGTTATGCGTCCATGAACAGAAGTCCTTCCATTATATTTGCTACCTTCTGACCCATTATATTTGCTACCTTTTGCAATATGAACATTTGGGCAAGACAACTGTGTGATTTGTCTGCACCATGTGCCAGAGTCTTCAACTGTACTGTTGTTTTTTAATTCTCTTATCAAAGTTAACACTTAGCTACAGCATATTCTACTCACTTTGATGTCCACATAAGCTTGTCACCAATTTTGATACAGCAGGATCAGCCAGTTAATTACGCTGATCATTTTTACTGTCCTGTGATATAATGAACCATTTCAGTTTCCCAAAGGCCCAGTAAAGGATTGGTGCACTGAGCAACTTGTCATCTGAATTCTGTATTGCATAGCAGGCGCCTTTCATAGCGCATTTAAATGCATGAAGTCATCAGTTGGATGTTTGACATGGTGCCATTTGTCACAGCAACTAATCCCCAAAGGACTTCTGCATCAACTTAAGTAGCTGTGTTTGACATCATAGTATTCCCTCAAGTTCAGTCATTCAAAAATATCTTCTGCAGCTCTGAAAATGGAAGGGTGCTAAGGGGAATCAGGCACTGACAGGAATATCCAGTCTTATGGGCTAGGTTCCAGATGTGTAAAGTTCAGGAGACCCTACCTTTCTTTAATATGTTACATATGTAATTGAAATGTCCGTTCCTTATTTGGGTAGCTGTTTCCAGTGGCTTCAGTTGCAACATCTTTTGACAAAGCACTAGGAGTCTGCAGCTGGGGCATTTCTATGTTGTGTGATGTCTCTGAGCTGGTTTGCATGCTCACCTATCCTAAGATGATGCTTGTATGTAGAATAGGTGAGCAAATGAAGTGACATGAGAAGCATTGCAAATTAAGGCCAAAGTATACATTACATAGCAGAACTACTATTAGATCTCCTGACATTTTTATTATTACTTAGAAGCAGCCAAGGGGAGGCTCTGAATTGTTCACAGCTAGGCTTGCCAGTCCTCTGGTTGGGGCAGGGGTTCCCTCACTTTTTGGGGCTGCTGGCCAGTTGGCCAGCGGGGGAAACCCCAGTCCCAATCAGCGATGTCCTGGTGTGACATCCCCAATGTGGTGATGTCACCTGGAAGTGATGTCATCACACCAGGAATGCTGTGAGGGACGCTCTGGTTTGAGGGCAAAACTCTATGATAAATTTGCCTACAAACCATAGAGTTTTGCCCTCAAACTAGAGCATTGCCGGTATGACGTTGCTGACATGATGATGTCACTTCCAGGTGCTGTTATCATGTTGGGGATGTCCTGGAATGCCCCCCCAAATGCTCCCACCAGAGTGATGAGGGGACCTGGCACAGCAGTGGTTCTGAGGGAGGAATTTTTTAATCCTTTCTATATTTCCCATTTTAAATCAGTGAGTTGGATCCAGACAACGTAGTCACTCACTTTCACCTAATCCCCCCTCTTAATGCAGCCCCAATTGCCTTTTGTCTATGCAGGACTCATGACTCCTAAACATAGTTTTTTTGGTGGTCAAAGAGAATCATCCCTTCCCTTTTTCTCTAGCAGAAAACCTGGTTGAATACAACTCCTTGTATTGAAGCGACTGTATTTCCAGTAGGTGGGATGGGGAACTCTTATTTTCCCACACAATGAACAAAAGTAGCTTTGGGAAAAGGAGGATGTAAGTCAGGAAATAATATGGGGAGGAAGGATTAAAAACATGACAAGAGTCCTTAACTATTCTCTTAGAATTAAAGTAGCCGTATTGTGTTTTCTTTAGCTACAAGCCATGCAGAAGGGATAAAGAAGCATCATTTTAAAGGAGTAAGGAAAAAGAAATGGATGTCCGAGGAACCCAAAAGCCTGTCTGCCCCATTAATTGGAAAAGGTATTTTGAGAAACAATTTTAATAGGTTCAAAAATGGCATGAGTAATAATTCACTTGTCTGTGGTTTATTATCAGATGCAATCTATTAAGAGGAAAAGCTGTATTTTGTTCTTTCCTGTATGTGTTGAGCACTGAGTACCTAAGTCTGGGGATAATGTTGATTCTTATATTATTTCTTGCAGCAATACATACTTCAAACCCTAAAGGTAAAGGGAATTGCCATCAAAATGATCAAAGCAAGAATGCTGAGAATACTTCTTATGTTCCTTCTCAGAGAGCCAGTGGGAGAAGCATTTCCTTGAATTCTGCAGTCGCTGGAAGGTCACCAAATCTTACCTATGATAAAGTCGGTGCCACCAAGGAGTCCAAGATCAATCTACCTGCAGGTAGGCACTTAGCTTCTCTTTATTTCTTCCTGATATGGTATGTGGAAACTTATTATTAACGGGCTTGATCCTATGACTCCCAGTAAGTGAAAAGCCCTGCTGCTCTGATGGGGGAAGCCTTCCCTCAGCAGAGACATGCTCCTTGCATCAGAACTAGGCTATTCACTTAGTGGAAAGGAGTTGGTAGAGCTAATTGTAGTAAAATGGATAGTAAAGAATTAATTGGAAGATGATTAGGGGTTGGCGGAAAACTCCACCCCCCTGGACTGTTCTCTTTTTCTTAGGCCCATTCTGCATCTAGCATTCGCTCTGCTGGTTTACCAAACCCACATTGGAACAGAAATTCTCCTCTACATTGCATGTCTCTCTCACTTTCTTTGATTGTCAGATTTAATGGTAGCTTCCACACTGCATGCCAGTTTCACTTCCTTTGATCTCTCAGTTTCATGGTACTGTCTGCATAGATTTATGACTGTTTTATGGCCATTCAGGGGTGACTTGGCATTGGCCCAGGGTATTTGAATGTGGTTTTGAGCTGCATCTTTTTCTGTTCCAGTATGGGTTTCTGTGTTAGTCAGAAGTTGGTTGCAATAAAGAAGTTGTGTTACATTCAGCCAATCATGTGAGTACAGCGATTTATTTCATAATCACTGTGAGATCACAAAACTAATCCAATGACATTATGTACTACTAGGAATAAGGCCCATTGTGGAGATAAATACAACGAGCTCTAGAAAGAGGCTTTGTGCCACAATTTCCTGTGGTGATCTCAGCAAGATATAATGACACAGAGCTTACTGTTTTCTCCAGGGGAACTGATCTCTGCCACCTGAAGAGCAGTTGTAATTTTGATTCATCGCCAGCCCTCACCTGGAAATTGACAACAATGGTTCACCAGAAGGAACTGGTTGGTTTGGAGGGTGGAGTCTATGACATTGTACCTGTCTGAGGTCCCACACTCTCCAGGCTCCACTCCTCAAATATCCAGAAATTTCCCACTGTTGAGTTGGCAACACTATCTCCTTCTGATCCAACCATCAACCTACCTTTATCTGCCCTGCTGACTTCGGCTTTCCATCTCTCCCCACTTCCTGAAGCCTCTACCTAGGAAAAGTACAGTCTTTTTCTGCAGTGGAGACCCAAGCAGGAGGGGAGCAACCTCAGCAAGGTATAATGACACAGAGTCCACCCTGCAAAGCAGCCATTTTCTCCAAGGAAACTGAGCTCTGACATCTGGAGAGCAGTTGTAATTCTGAGTGCCGCCCTCCCCTCACCTGGAGAAAGGCATCAATGGTTCCCCAGGAGGCAATTTATTTATTTATTTAATTTATACCCCGCCCTCCCCACGAAGGTTTGGAGGGTGGAGTCTATGGCATCGTACCTGTCTGAGGTCCCACCCCTCCTCAAACCCCACCCTCTCCAGGCTCCACCCCTCAAATCTCCAGGAATTTCCCAATCTGGAGTTGGCAACCCTACCTTTCCCAGCCAACCATCAACCTACCTTTATCTGCCCCTCTGACTTCAGCTTTCCATCTCCCTGCCACCACCTGCAGCTTCTACTTAGGAATAGTAGTAGTAGTTTTTCTCCACAGTGGGGACCCAAGCAGGAGGAAAGCAACCTCAGCAGGATATAATGACACAGAGTCCACCCTGCAAAGCAGTCGTTTTCTCAAGGGAAACTGAGCTCTGCCATCTAGAGAGCAGTTTTAATTCTGAGTGATCTCCAGCCTTCACCTGGCGAATGGCAGCAACGCTTCCCCAGGAGAAAATAACTGCTTTGGAGGGTGAACTCTATGGCACTCTATTCAGCTGAGGCCTCTACGCTCCCCAAATTCTGGCTTCCACAGACTCCACCACAAAATCTCCAGGAATTTCCCAGCCTGGAGCTGGCAACCCTAGTCAGGACTGGCCCCAATGAGTTCCACACAAAGGCCTGGAAAGGGCCTCCTGATTGTTGCCTTTTTACTGACAGAACCAAGCTTGGTTGCCTAGCAACAGTCACCGAGGGAAAAGTTAGTCCCACAGGAGCCAAGCAGGAGAAGTGTCTTCGTCAGGAGAGACAGCTGTTTTGGCAGTTAATTCTGACAGGGAACAGTGGCTGAGGCAACAGTGGGTGGGGAAGAGGAGTGGACCCAGCATTCAGCCAAGGGCACACAAGTACTCTTGATTGGCAGTTGATGGGTCAATGGCTGATGGAGCGCACAGCACAGCCAATGGAAGAGCTGGAAGTGCCAATGCGTTAGGGCAATTATATATATCAGATTATATGAAATTAAAATATGAAAAATTCACTAGAACACTGGGGTGAATCCTACCCCATCTTAACAGTCCACTGAGCAAACTCTGAAGCATTCCTTCAATTTGAATGGTTCTTTTAACAGAAGAACTCTTTAAGATGGAATAAGGTTTGATCAATACCATTGTCTTACTTTACAAAATTCTTTGTTACAATTCTGTTTTAACATGCTTTTGTGTTCGCAGTTAAGTTTTTATGATTATGTAAAGAAACCCACTGCCAGATAGCCTTATCAGGGTAACCCTACCCCTAAAAAACCTATTATTAAATGTTTAAACAATTAAATAGTAGATTTGCTACATATCTGTTGAAGAACATTTTGAGGTAGCTTCTGTTGCTTGTACCGTGCACAGTCTCACTGGAACATGCCTAGTAACAAGTGTGAGCTGTGGCAACAATACTTGTGGCTATGTTTGTAATTTTCTTCTGTTCTCAAGTCTTGGTGCACCAGTCTGGTAATGTGATCTTGTTCTGATCATGCTCTGTTCCTACCCATACTTGCTAAGCACTGTACACATTATATGAATGTCCTTCAGTCATCTTTTGCAGAGATATGCTAGGAATTATAAAGTTTGCCAATTTCATGTACTTTACCTTGTTTTTCTAAAGCAACGACAGTACTTGCAGGAGTAAGGCCAGGCCCTACTGAAGGACAAAAGAATGCCTGGATAGAATCTGGTCTAAGAAAGGCACCAGGGTTAAGCCAAGCTCAGGGTCAGGACCAAGGAGTTGTCAATAGTCAGAAGATCAAGTAGAGCTGAGGTGATTTATCATACGGAGTGGGCACAAATCAAGGGAACCAGTAGAACATGGGGCACAATGAGATATTTAACTCCATGGAAGTGTGAGTTTGAAGTCAAGGCAGGGTAGAGAATGGGAACCTTGTGAACAGACTGGATGGAACTACAAGTAGTGCTGGAGCCATAAATCACAGTCATGAGTTCTGGTCCTTCTTTTTTTACCCTCAACCAGAGAAGTTGGATCTGAGGTGGCCTGTTTCAAAGGATTTTCAGTTCTTGCTCCAACACTCTAGTGTGGGCTACCACTGGAGGTTAGATCTGTCCATTCCCTATATTTTCTGCCTTGAGTCCCCTTGTGAGGAAAGGCAGCCTATAAATATTTTAATTAATGAATAAATAACTGACATGGAGAACTGGAAGGGATATTGAGGGTTTGCAAATGAAGCACAGGGTACTTTAGCTAGGAAAATCCCATGAGGCTGTCTCCAATACAAGCTGTCTTTGTTGCAGAGTTAATAGCAAAATATTTTTCATAATATATGTCATAAAGGCTCTGGATGTGATTAATTCTATGCTTTTAATGTTTTGTGATAACTTTAAGAAGCAACTGTATTGTGTGTTTGCATATATGGCATCTGTGCCATTATGTTGATCTCAGTGACTGGTGTTTCAAGACTCTTGTAAAATACCACATTCTACATTTTTAATGTAAAAAAAAAATCCATACCCCCAAGTATAGCAAAAAAAGGTTGTCTATGACAGACCATGTGTACCTTTGAATTTTTGTCTCGTGGGATAGGGCAGGGTATAAATTAACCAAATAACAACAACAACAGGAAAACATGTACAAATTGTTTCTCTCCACTGAAACAGCAATACAATTCTAGGTACGATCATCCTCTGAATAAAATAGTACTTTTCCCTATTCCGTGCTGTGTTAGTCATGCTTGCCAGGATTGTAAAGAAAAAATATATACATATTGTTAAGTGTGTTTTGCAGGGTTATACTTTATTAAACAAATGTTCAGTCCTGATTTTGTGAAAACACTTTGTTTTATGCTATTTATTTTAATACATACCCTGACCTGGATACCCCAAGCTAGCCTGATTTCATCAGATACCAGATGCTAGGCTGGGTTTCACCTGTTTAATATTTGGATGGGAGACCACCAAGAAAGTCCAGGGTTACCATGGAGAGGTTGTCAATGGCAGACCACCTCTGGACGTCTCTGGCCCTGAAAAACCATGAGGGGTCTCTGTAAGTCAGCTGCGACTTGACGGCACTCTTCACCACCACCCTTTTAATACATATTTTCACTTCAAAGAATTAATCCTGCAGATGTATAACCATTTTCTAATTAATACCTTCAATCCAACAGATTTGTTTTCCCCTTGTTGTTTTGCCCCATCTGTTTGTTGCATAATTCTGCCCAGGTGGCATTGTGTATTTGAGCATTGCAACTAATTTTTTACATCCAATGAATATATTTTCCTCTGGGGTTAGGATATTTTTCAAAATGATTTGCAATTCCTGTGATGTCAAGTAATACCATAGCTGACAGCGTGTATGTTTGTTTGTTTGTTTAACGAGAGTGACAGAAGGAGAAGTACAGATGGGGAAAAGATGTAAAGCAAGCTGTATTTTTCTTTACAGAGAGATGCACATCAGCATATAATTCACTAGCTTGGAGAAAAAGAAGCCCGCACACTAAAGTATACACAAAAGCTGAAAAAATGCATTCAGGTATTTATAGTGTTATATTACTAATTATATTGTACTGTTTTAGACTAAAATACTCGAATGTAGTGAAAGATTCACAGAGGTAAGTTGTTATTGTGTAGATAATTTTTGTTTTTTATATTGTTGGTGGATAGGAGGGGAGAACATGGGAAGTGTTAGAGCTGATGCTTTTGTCCCCCAGACTGCTCTGGATAAGGAGCAAAACCCTCAGGCCTGAGATCTACTTGCGAATAGATTTTGTTCCAGCATCTTTCCTTACTTAGACAGACTGGATCAAGGTAAGGGCTCTTTTTGAGTCTACACTATCATGTGATACCTGAACTTGGAGGTAGATCTAAACTCCTTTTTCTGTCCGCCCAAATGTTGGCTGCATAGGAGGTTATCACTTTTCATCTCTGCTGGATGAGGGTCAAGATCAGACCATGAAAGAATTCTCTCCATTCACTACTCCTGTTGGTTTTATTTGATGCTTCCATCATGCAATGTTGGACACTTCTCTTTCATTCCATTGAGCCCACGCACCTTCCCACTCTTTTCTGTTTGGCTCCTGGGAAGCTTTGCCTTTGGCTTCTAGTTTCCATACTAGCTGGCATTTTGTGCACCCCCCCCCCCATTGGTGCTATCCACACTTACCATACGATTCCCAGATCTGTTTTATCTATCAAGGGATTATCACAAGATGTGCATGGCTGCTTTATGGCTTGTAGTGGTCAGATGAGCTGAGCCAACACCCCAGAATCACAAGGAAAAGAAATGTGATAATTGTCCAACTAGCCAGTGTCCAGGCGCCATGTGGTAACCTGATGAAACAGTGGGGAAAAGCCCCTTCCTTTATATTGTTTAGTTTTTCCCTAATTTTTTGTGGCTACAAGCATGGCCAGATTTCAGTTTTGTAACTGGAGGGTGAGCATAAAACCTGTTTGGGAGACTATTTAAGTCAGCATTTGATAAAAGAACATTCTGGTTAAACAACTGGTTTCTCTCTTGAAATAAATAAGAGTTTTCAACTGAAGCAGCCATGAACAATAGAATATATATTTTGATTAATGGTACTTTCTCCTGCTTCCTCTGTGTACACCATGACTACTGTACAGAATCATATAGATGAGGGTTAGGGTTGCAAGCAAGCAGATGGAGGAAGGCTGAACAGTTGGGCAGTATGGGAGGCATGTGGGCAGGTGGCTCACTGGCAGTGGGCCATTGTACCTTCCCTGGGCCCTGGCAGCTGCCCCAACTCAACACCAGCCATTATATAGATGTTCTCCATAATTATCCACACCACTCTGGCAATATTAAAAGTGCTCTGCAGCTTCATTCAAAGTCCATTACAGTTAACTGAACAGCATTATTCAGCATGTTCTTGTGCAACAGTGTCTTTCAACAGAACTTGGGTGGTTCCTATACTGAATAGCATTTCAAAGAGTCCTCTGAACAGTTGCTGCCAGTGCCTGTAAGTGGCAGAAAATATAAAGCTTATGAAGTACCCCATGAACACTTGAGAATAATTTCTATTCAGCAAGGAATGTTACTTCCCACTGAGCCTAACACACATAAGATTGGGATTCACATACTAAAATAGTAAAGCTAGTATAGGGCTGTGATCAGCAATCAGACAGCAACATCTGGGAAGCGTCCCGCAGTCATCGGCAACCCGCGCTGCTGTGCCATGGAAGCAGAGTTAAAATACACCAGGGAAAGTCTGGTGTTACCCGGATAAGGCGGACCATGGGCATTCTTTCCCCTGTCTGATCACTCATGCACACTCTCATGCTGTCAGGATGGTCTGATCAGGCCATCCTGACTCCGTGCCAAGTTTTTTTCACCCCTTTCGCAGTATGTGCATCATTGCATACTCCATAGGGGGCCCTCAGTGCGGAGGTGAAATTCCTCGTTGATGCGCAAGGGAAACAAACAGAAAAAAACTCACCCACAGTTGCATCTGATCACTGCACCCACAGCTTCTCACAACTGCGTGTCAAATTCCTCCGGAGGGAATAGCCTCGCTTCCCCTCCACTTCAACTGGCGCATGTGACCGCAGCCTAGGACTTGAATTCATGGGTGCTTATTTGGAAATGAGATTCCCTGAAATTAGTGGGGTTCCATTCCAAGGAAATGTGCTTAGATATGGATACTAGAGTATGTATCCAGCCTTGATGAAATTCCATTCACTATGGAAAGTGACAACTCCTTTATTCCAGAGTAGTCCTATTATTCCAGATGGTACCAATATGATTCAGCAAGATTAGTGTGTTACCTTGTAAACCATTAAGTTCTGGCAGCCATAATTAGTTACCATACTTAGCTTCAATTAATAGTAACTATTGCTGTTCCTGCCCGTCTTTAAACCCCACTTTCAAAACTAATTATGGTTGCCAGAGCTTAATGGTTTATAAGTGACTGCACAAATCTTGCTGAATCACATAAGGTCCCATTCACTTATTCTAGTGCTGCTCCAGTAAGTTTAATAGAACTACTCTTACTAGTATTTCTGGTTTTAAATTGTCATCAGTGTAATTGGTTTAACTAAGGAAGCATAGCATGGAACACCTTGATTATCTGGTTTCCTGCTGCCATCAGAATCACCTGTTGTACTCAGCACAGGGGAAGAGGGTCAGAGGATGGTCATGGCTACGCATGGGACCAGTGGGCCCTTGCCTGCTGTTTTAGTACTGCTGCCCATAGCCCTACCATTTTCTTGTGAGCTGGCTGGGTGTGGGTTAGCTGGGACCACTCTGGACCTGAGGGAAGAGGTCTGTCCTCTTCTCTGCCACAGCTGACCCTGTTGACCCAGTGGACAAGAGGCCTAAGGCAGGCCCAGCACTCAGTGCCTTCTTGCAGCTAAAGATGGCGCAGAAGCAGCAGCCATGGAGGAAGTATTTTGGGAGGCAGGAGGCATCTAAAATCTCTGATCTGAAACTGTTAATGCCGTCAGAGTCGTTGATTAACTAAGGACGTGTAATGTGGAATACCTTAAAACAGTAGTTTTCATATTTTGCTTGCCAGTTACATTTACATCAAGCTTTCAGACTTTTGTGTGTGTTAATTTCAGAGCCTAGAAGAAATGGAAGCAGATAAAAAAGGAGGTTTGAAGGAGAGGGAAGATAAGAAAAGAAGCGACATGAAGTTCTTCTTATAGTTTACCATCAGAAGAGGGGGAAATGCTAATTCAAAGACCATGGTTATATTAACCTGAAGAGCCATAGATGATAAGAATAAATTGCAGAACGTGCAGAGCTGCTAAAACATATACATTAAAATATGTAAATGAGGCATATGTTTCTGAATGAGTTCATTCCCTAATGAAGTTCAATATTGCTTAAAAGTTTAACTGTTTCAAATACTTAATAGTGCTATAAAAACTGGATATAATCTTTTTAAATAAAACATCTTTAGCCTTTTCAGCCACTTCAGAGGATAATATTAGTAAGATTTTAGACATGGTAATTCTGATCTCCTGCTATATTTTGAAACAGAAACGTACTTCCCCCTTTTCTACGAGTTACACTGGAGTGTTGTCATACACTGATGTCTGCACAAGCAGGTGCCTTTCTTCATTCTGGGAGAACAGTGTCTGGATCAGCACGCCTGACAAGGCTTATTCAGGGGGCTTGTGATCACGATGACATAACTAGCAGAAATGTTGGGGGAGGGAAGGGCTGTGATTCCAGTGAAATATTGTCAGAGTTAGGGTTGATTTGTGCAGGGTAATGGTGCAGAGATGCTACCCAATTCTGACAGGGTAATGGTGCAGAGATGCTACCCAATTTGGCCACTTTTTAACAGACTGGAAAATGAAGTCTTCAGTCACTTGCTCTCTCTAAGTTTATAGTTTACATTTTGGTATCTCAAGCAAAATGACCATGAAAGCCTTTGAAAGGCTGTTTCTGCTTTCCATTTGCAGGTGTTGTGAGATAACAGAGGTCTTGCTAGACTTCTGTTATTAGTGATGGTAAAATCCTTTATTTATTTGTTATTTATAGTCCGTCTTTCTCACTAAGACTCAATTACACAGTGTGAATCAATGTGACCGGTAGGATAATAGACCTAATAAACAATGCAATTAGGATTGCAGAAATTTGAGGAATGGAGCTGCCAAGCATTTTGTTGGTGTAGAGCCTCTGTCCCTGAAAAAGTTTCATGACAGTTACACCAGAACACTTTTTGCTGTCACTTCATACCCAGGTTGGGTACTACATCATCTCCAACGTAGGCAATTGACATATACTTTGAAAAGTTTCAGAGGCCCTATAAAGGCAATCTTTACAACCCCTGGGAGGGACTGCTGTCCAGTACTGCTACTGGCCTTGCTTGTAATCTCTGTAGCACTGCGGGTGGGAATTTTTATGTGTGGTAGTGCAGCCTGGAAAGACAAGAGAAACAAGGGGGGGGGGAATAATAAATAATGGTACCAACTTCAACACATAATAGGCATTGTTCCATTCTGTATGCCACCACCCCATTCCCCATTCAGCTACTTGAGAAGTCCCCTTATGTCTGTGTTTGCATCTTCACTCATCAAGGAAAACAGTGTAAGTATTGTAGCAATACCAGAAGGGTGTGCGTTGGTATGCTTTCTGAAGTTACTGTTCTCCTTGGCTTTGGTCCTACAATTGTAACCCCTAGCTAGGAATAGAATGAGCCAGGAAGGGGTGGAGCCTCTAGATGTAGAGTGTGTGGAAAGCAGAAGAGGGAAACAAGACTGCCCTGCTGGGGAACTTGAACCTTAATCATTGGCTCTTAACACCTTGTTTAAGGGCTATGATATCCAATGGGAAGTTCAGTTTGGTGTAGTGGTGAAGAGCAGCAGACTCTAATCTAGGTGACCTTGGGTCAGTCACAATTCTCTCAGGGTGTGGTCACACATGCCAGAAAAATCAGGGGGGTGGGGAGCAGGGCAAATAGACCCACAGTTTAGGGTTGCCAAATAGAAAAATCTTACCGGCGGGGGAGCATCCTGTCTCTCCAGGAGCCGGCCGGGAACGCGTGTGCGCGCTTCTGGAGCGTCACCGGAAGTGACGTCACACCCTGGGGCAGGGCCACGCCATTTGAGGGGAAAACTCTTTGTTTTCCCCTCAAATGGCATCGCCCCGCCCCCAGCATGCGACGTCACTTCCGGGTGACACACACGCGGGGGTGGGGTTTCCCCCGGGCCCCGATTTTGCGGGAGCGGAAAGCGGGGCTCGAAAGCGGGGGGAATTCCGCCCCCCGGGGGGATTTGGGAACCCTACCGCAGTTGCACATCACACCTTCCTTTGAAGCTGCGGGCTTCAGATCATCCCAACGCCATGAGAGCATGCTGGAGTGATCAGACAGGGGAAAGTTCGTCCGTGGCCAGTCTCAACCCGTTTACCACCAGATTTTCCCCAGTGTCTTTTAACTCCACTTCTGCAGTGGAGTAGAACGTGTTGCCGACAGCTACAGGGCGCTTCCCAGATGTCGTCTGGTTGTGCCCTTTAAATCCACCCGGCATTCACGCCTGTGCCGGGTCTAATTGTACGTATGATTGCAGCCTCAGGGCTGTTCTCTCAAGAACAGTTCTCAAAAGAGCTCTCTCAGCCTCACCTACCTCACACAGTGTCTGTTGTGGGGAGAGGAAGGGAAAGGAGTTTTAAACCGTTCTGAGACTCCGAGTGAAGTGAGGGCTATAAATCAAACTCTTCCTCCTCCTCCTCCTCCTCTTCTTCTTTATCATTTGGGACCCTCATCTCCAAAGCCAGTGCACAGAATGTTCAGCTGGAGGGCTCCTGGGCCATCAACAAGAGGAAAGAGAAGGGCTTTAGGGGTGGCAAGCTGGAAAGGAGGGGAAAGTTAATTGTTTAGACTTCAAAAGATCACTTTTCTGTTTTACTACTGAGTTCTATGTTTTTGTTACATAATATGATGTTAAGTGAAAAGTAAAAATGTTTTATTCTCTTTGGATTACTGCAAGATTCATTCCAAGTTCTGCCCCACAGAACCCACAAACTGAGGTTACACAATGAACAATGAGTCATTTCAGATATGCATGAACTGTACCTACATCTATGGGTATTTATGCCTATCTGTTTCTGCATAATATATACTCACCTGTGACCTCTGTGTGTATCACTGTCGAGTAAAGAAAAGTTGCAAAATCAGTACTCATTTCCACTCATTACAGAAAGGAGGGGAGGAAGTGGGAGACATTCTGTGACCACAGGCGTTTCAGTACTCAGCAAACCTGTCTCTTTTTTTGGAAAGTGGCTTGGGTGGGAAGGTAACAGTGTTCCGTGCGCCTTGGTGTTTAGTCATGCCGGCCACATGACCACGGAAACGTCTTCGGACAGCGCTGGCTCTTCGGCTTTGAAATGGAGATGAGCACCGCAACCCTAGAGTCGGATCCGACTGGCTTTCGAGCAAGGGAACCATTACTGTTACCGTTACGTTGGGTGGGAGAGGGGTAGAGAAAGTTCAAGGTTCTGCTTTCTCTCACCTGGTGGAGCCCCTTCCCTTTCTTAGCCACACATGGAGCTTGGTTCAACAGTGGAGTTGAGACTCTTGGTGGATGTTTGTTTGTGAAGTCCTGTATGCTACCAGTAAGGTCTCTGAGAAGAAAAATATCATTTGTCCTTCATCTTTTTTGCTGGCAGTGTTTACCTGGGCAGTTGGGTAATTGTTGTTTGGGTGAAGTGTCTAATCCCCTTTAAGATCATAGTTCTAAAGGTACAGGGCAGAGTAAGAGACTATCAATCTTCAAATGTGAATTTCTTTGTTGGGTCTTTTATACCCCTGTTATGATTTTCTATAAATAGAATTCTGTCTTTCACTGTGGCTCTTGGAGCATAGAAGGAGAAGGTATATACAGTCGCATTGAGGTTTCCATTGTCTACAAAACAAGTGATTCAAATGAATCTACCTCCTTTAGAGGCATACCGCACTGTTATCCAGGGTAAGAACTACTTCTGAGTATGCATAAGATCCACACTGCCACCTCCTTATCCAAAATGCCATCAGCTTTGCCTGGTTTTCTCCTTTTAGCTTGTAAAGTTCCACTATTGTAAAGGTTGGTCCAATCGTGCCTCCTAACATTGCAAGACCATTACTATGCCAATTGGTTTTTCATAGCATTGTGCTCTACTGATGTAAATGAGTATATGAACAAGTCTACTCCAATCAGGGATACGATTCTACCATTAATTTCCATATCTATGTTGCCTTTAAAGTGTAAAGGCCTCTGGAGACATAAACCCTGGACTCATTTGTACTTGGAAGTGCCTGTCCCCTTAGACTGCTCTCTCAATCCCTAGTAACTGTCCAGAGACCTTTACAAACTTTGCATTCTAACTTGCTTGTACTTTTTATTAAAAAGTTATACAAACAGTTCAGTATACATAAAAGGACCCTAAACTGGGAAGATACCTAAGAGACACAGACACTGTGAGAGCTCTGAGTCCAAGGAAATGGAAAAGAGCATATTTCAATATTCAAATAGGGAAGTCAAAAGTTGAAATAGTTTTCTTCTCTCTATTGTTGGATTTCTAGGCCACATTGCTCTATAGCGATATCGCATATCTAGATTGCCCAAAGCAATTTACAATTTAATTCAAAGAGGTCTCATGCATAGTTCCTATTAGTGGAAAAATATTCTTAGGGCTTTTTCAAGCAGAAGTGTGGAATCTCACAATTACTAACTACTCAGCATAATTTTAATTCAATGAAAGAACTATTGCATAGTGATAACTTGAACAATATTAAGATCCCATGTGTAGAAAGTATTGGCTTGCTAGCTGGGACCTATTATTCACTGTAAAGGTTAATTGTGGCTAATAGAAGAATGAGTTGTCTTCATATTGCCAGAAGAGTTTTAGTCTGTGGAACAGAGATACAGAAGGTCATTATCCAGGCCTATTTAGAGCTTTGGTACTTCTCTGTAGGATTACCCAGCCCAAAACAGCTTTCTCAATGGCTGGCTTTATGATGAAAGGGAATAAATCATCTGGCATTTCATAAGCTATGTATAAATAAACTGGGAATTGTGGGTACAGATTGGCCAGCTAACCAAAACTGGCTGATAAACTTTGCATTGCATGGAGCCACACATTGCCTCCTGCCAATAA